AGACTGAACACCTAACCATGGGCCACCAAGTGACCATGAGGCCTGAGCTGTCCATCATGAACTGGGTGTTGTCTGACCCACAGAGTCATAAAGGAGGATGTGCACAGCAGCACTCCATCACTAAATGGAAGTGGTATATCAGAGATCAGGCTTGAGGAGGACCTGAAGGCACAAGTTGCCTGAGGAAGTGGCCACACTTTGCCCCCCCAAAAAATCTATGTCCTTCCCACATGAAAATACACATTTACCCTATCACATCATTGCCAAAAATGTTAACCCATTCAATATCAACTCTAATTCCAAAATCTTATCTTCTGAATCACCTAAATCATGTATAGGCAAGATACTAGATGAGTTCCTACCTGCGGCAAAATTTCTTTTGATCAGTGGACCTGTGAGACCTAGATTACAAGTTATCTCCTTCCAGGAAAATAACATGACAGGAATAGATAGACATTCCTCCTCCAAAAGAAAGAAACTGGAGGGAAAGAAGGCATCTTAAGTACAAAGCATGTCCAAAACCCAGGAGCATTAGGTCTCAGACTCAAAAATAATCCTCTGTTTTCTAGGACCCATATTCTACACTTGGGGCATTGGCCTCACACTCCAGATCCTGAGTAGAGTGTACCCTCAGCCGTGGATGTCAGCCCTGCTTTGCAGGCACACTGAGATGGCATCCCTCTCCTCTCAGCTTTAGGAGGCCCCATATTGCTGGCCCATTGGAGCAGTGCCCACACCACTTGGCTCTGGGTGGCTACGGTGTCTTAACTCAAGGGCACAGTAGTGCTACCCTCTCAACTTGGGGCAGTGGCCCCATTCTCTTGGCCTATTGGAATGGCAGCCCGACCCTCTGGAACCAAGCTGACAGAAACTCCACTCTTTGAAACCTAGGTGACAGCCCCACCCTTTGAACCTAGAACCCAGTGGCTCCACCCTTTGAAACTGAGGAAATGGCAGCCCTGTCCTCCATGCTCCTCTGGACAGTTCTTTTGGTCTCTGAACTGATCCTTGGATCGTCCTTTCCTTTTTTTGAAGGACACTAGATGTTTACAACCAAGTAGCTCCATTGGCCTGTTTCCTACCTATAGAAGTCTAGGAGAGAGATGTCTTTCCTTCAATTTATCCTGTCACTGTACCTTTCAGTCTAATATGACATGGTTTCTGCTGAGATGATTGATTAGATCCATCAATCACAGACCTAATCTCTTTAGCAAACAGTTGTGTAGCCAAAGTCCTTTCCTTTCCAGGGAATATTCTCTTTGTTTTTACAACAGAATTTTCCATATCTTTAAGTTTAGCTCCCCCCGCCCCAGTTCATTTCTCAATCTATCTATTTTCTCCCATATTTTACTATAAGCATGTGGAGAAACCACAAGGCATCTGCAAGATTTTGCTTGCTGTTGTTGTTAGGTGCCATTGAGTCGTTTCCAACTCACAGCAACTCCATACACAGCAGAACGAAACACTGCTCACTCCCACACCAGCTCTATGATCCTTGCTATACTTGAGCCCATTGTCGCAGCCACCGTGTCAATCCATCTTGTTGGAGGCCTTCCCCTCCTGTGTCGACCCTCCACCCTACCAAGCATGACATCCTTCTCCAGGGAATGGTCCCTTCTGACAACATGACCAAAATAGGTGAGACGAAGTCTGGCCATTCTCGCTTCCAAGGAGCATTTTGGCTGCACTTCCTCCAGGACAGATCTGTTAGTTCTTTTAGTGGTCCATGGTACTTTCAGCATTCTCCGCCAGCACCACAACTCAAAAGCATCAACTCTTCTTTGGTCTTCCTTATTCATTGTCCAGCTCTCACATGCATACGAGGTGATTGAAAATATCATGGCTTGTGTCAGGCGCACCTTAGTCCTCAAGGAGACATCCTTGCTCCTCAGCACTTGAAACAGTTCCTTCATGGTTGACCTTCCCAATGCTACACATCATCTAATGTCCTGACTAGCTGCTGACAATTCTTGGCATTCCTGGGCTTATAGATGCATTAGTTTCTGTCATCATTTGGCATCTGTCTTCTGCTTGTGTGTCACTCTCCATGCATACTTTCTCTTTTTATAAAAGACCACTCAAAAGGGATTAGTTTAGGACCCACCCTACTCTCTTATACTTCAATCACATAACAAAGGAAAAATTCTATTTCCAAAACAGGATCACATCCACAGATATAGGGGCTAAGACTTTGATATATATTTTTAGAGGACACAATTAAATCCATGACAAATCTTTTGCTTCATGTGTTCATTTCAAGACAGAAGCTATTTGAAGCTACAAGTTTGACTAATATATATTTTCTTATCACACAATAAAAGTTCCCCAGTAACTCCAAATCAACTCCAGGAGAAGAAAATTTAGACACTGTTTATAAACTTTATATAAGAGTACTTAGGAGGCAGGCACTAAGTTGAATTTAAACCTTAACCAAAAGGTTACAAATTAATCTCAAACTACTCACTGAGAATTGGATACATCAGAAGGACTTTTCTCCTGTAAATGTCTGGGGGGAACTTGGCATAATATACTTTGGCTCGTTGTGTCTCCTCATCACTCTGAATTAGGATCTTCCCAATTCTTATGGATCTACAGCAGTCTCGTAAACCTTGCTCCATTGCCTCACCTTAAAAAAAGGAAAGAAAAACGAGTTGAGGGGAGATAGAATAAAAGTCTAAGAATAAGACAAAATGGACAAATACCAAAAGGTCACTGTTGAGAAGGAAGTAATTCTTCTTTTTTTTAAATTTTGATTTCATTCTTTATTTTTAAAATCCCTTTACCAATATCAAACCTGTCTCTTAATTATCCATCTACTTCCCCTCCCTTTCCTATCCTCACATCCCTAGTAATTCTTCTTAAAGTCAACAGCTTTTACTTCTGAAATGTTCACATTTTATACTTAAGGCTGGTCATCCAATTAGGTAAAGGCTGTCCATGAACCTAAGGAAGCTAGCTTTATTGCTGGATTACAAGATTAGACCTGTTGTGCCTCCATAATTACAGAAAATAGTATTTTTTGAGCTACTTAATATAAGGAAAATTTTCATTCCTATATTTTAAAGAAGCCTTTAAACCAGGGATTAAACTTATGTGGCAATGCCATTTCATATGAAAAAATATATATATAAAAAAGATTTATGAAAGAATGGGGGCTGAAGACCAAAGGATCTTTTAGATCAAGGTGTCATCAGGAGACATCCCTTAACTCAATATTGAGTTAAAGGGCAGAGTCTCTGTGGGCAAACAGTGAAAAAATAGTGTATTGTTCCCCCCACCTAAGGTGGAGAACCATAAGCACTACCACCACACCCTTGGCTGCTGAACACAGAGCTATTTTTGAATGTCAATTCCTTTAATCAATTATTTCCCAAAAGTCAGCCATTCTCATACCATCTATAAGATTTTACTCTGTATCAGAATTCTACCTGTATTATTATTTACTTAATATTTTTATTTAAATTAAGTCTCACTTAAGTTTATTTTAAGAATAAATGTGGGAGCCTTAGTGGCATAGTGCCTAAGACATTTGACTGCTAACCAGAAGGCTGGTGGTTCAAACCCACCAGCCACTCCTCGGAAGGAAGACTGGACAATCTACTTCTATAGTGATACCGCCTCAGAAATCCAAGAAGGAGTCGCTATGAGTCGGATCTGACTCAAAGGCAGTCAATTTTTTTTTTTTTTGAGTTTTACTATAAATGTAAAACCAGTTCTTTCTAATATATATGAAAATCAACAAATAACTGTTCAAGTTAAAAATAATTCTGTCTGTGCATCACTCTAAATCATCTGATATACACTGGGGGTATAAGAACCACACTTTGGGAAAAGCTGCCTTTAGGGAAGGATCTGAACCTTGAAAACATTATGCTGGGTGAAAATTCCACTTTCATTCACCAATTATAAAAGGTTCTCATTTTCCAAGAATCTTATAGTTGCTTAAGAGCTGCCTCCTATTAACAACAAAAAAAAAGAGCTTAAAGCTCCCATATTATTTGAAATATTCAACTTTTCACAAACATAACCTCATAATCAGAAGGGAAAAGGGAATTTTTATATGTTGAAAAAAAGAGAATCTCTTTCCAGAGCACCCTACCTCAAATCTCTTTAAAAACTGTCTTGTCCATGTCGGCATGCCACTAGGAAAGATGCTCTACAGTCAAAATTATTTAAACTCAGAAAGCCACCAGCCATGACTCCAAGGTACCATGAGTATAGACAACACAGGCAGTGAGATATAACCTAAAGTAGGCCGCAATTATGAAAAACAGCAACTGTTTCTATGCATGAAAAGAGACAAAATCACACACACATGCAAACCTACCGCTTCTCATTATGCTCACCCCGCAATTTCCCTTCTCAAATTTCACTCCTTCATACTTGTACCCTGTTGGGGGAGGGGAGGAATAGAACCAAAGAATTTATCTTTCATCACTGGAGCTACTTACTTATTTTATAAGGTAGTGTAGTGCCTAAGGCACTTGACTGCTAACCAGAAGGCTGGCGGTTCAAACCCACCAGCCACTCCTCAGAAGGAAGGTTGGGCAATCTACTTCCATAGTGATACTGCCTCAGAAACCCAAGGAGGGGTCACTATGAGTCGGGTCTGACTCGATGGCACATACCAACAACAACAACATAGTTTAAATCAGATGGATATAGAGCAACTCTTCTCTAGACACACTGTATAACACCTTAGGTTCTCTGTGAAAGCAAGGAAATTAGTCATACTTTTTCATAGATATTTCTTAATCCTCCATAAAAACCTATGGAGATCATTGGGAAGAGTGAGCCCCATTAAATGAGAACAGGTCTTATTATAGCATGATATTCATACACATTCTTCAAGTTGAATTCAGAGGAGAATCACTGCACTCAGAGAATGCTATAAATTCAAATCAAAATGGAATTTCACAGTAGAGAGCCCCCTAATTTCATTACTTTTAATGAACCTTGATTCTTCTTTGAAAGTGGAGGAGAGGCTGAGGTAGTAAGCAACATATGCTCAACCCTTGGTCTCATCCTAAATTTGTGTCAATTTTTATGCAACTATCTCAGCCTTCAATTTTCATAAAGTCAACCCTTTGAATAGAACAATTTTCTGTTTTCTATTAAAAAAAACAGAATTTCAAAATGGATATGGGGATCTGTAGCTACTTTCTTTTAAAGAGTAAAACAAACACCTTCTCCAATTCTTATTTGCTTTTTTATTTTATTGTCTTGTGTTGTTCGAGATTGGTTTTGTGGTTTTGTGTGGTTTGAAATCTCATCCGTTTACATGGAGTTTAAATGCCAAATCATTTGTTAACACACGCAGCTTTCCCACAGAGGTGAAGATAAGCTACCAACAATCCTTAACTCTGATCTCAATGGAATATCCAGCATGCTGAAGAATATTTATTAACCTTTAACTTGAAATCACAAGTATGCCATTAACAAAAGTTAACCACATAGATTTCTTTATTAAATGTTATTGAGTTTATTAAGATGTTAAAAAGAACAGGTCCAGCTAGACTCATCTTGCATGCTGATTTTAATCAGACTGCTTTCTTTCCGTTTTTCCCCCAAGTCCTTCCCAGAATTCTTCTGATGAAAATATGAGCCCTGGTTACCTGTTGGAGTAGTCACCATGCATTCTTTATATGGCAGCTGATTCAATCCCTCTTCCACAACAAGTCTGATCTAGAGAATCAAAGAAAGGATAAGTT